CCCGGTGATGAACACTTTTTCGGGTACGTCACCTCTCACTAGAGCCACCACCTGACTCCTAGCTTCACCTTTAATAAGGTGACGCTTGGCCCACACAAATCGTTGGTCGTCGAGTATAAACTCGGGGTCCAGAATCTGAGGGTATTTATAGATAATTACCTTCGTCAGCTTCTCGTTCCCCTCCGGTATTTCCATAAGAATTCCATCATATCCTTGCTGGCTAAGAAACGTCACTGCCTCCCTAGAACCTACCGTTAAGTAAGGTCTGTTTACACCTTCCTTCAGCAGGGGCTCGAACTTGCGGTGTTCTCTTCCGAGTTTGACGGTCCACAGCAGCTTCTGATGATAGGCCAACGTGCATGAGGCAGGGAAGAGAAGCCTCCATCTCCGCTGATCCTCACCTTCCTGACATCGTTCCGTCCGTTTGTCTGCATCAGTCTCGGCGTCGTTCTTCATTCTCTTATCGTTTCCGTTAAGTGTATTACTGTCCACACTACGCCTTGCCTCCTGTCTTCTTCGTTTTTTCTTATTCCTTGTCAGAACTTCTATATACTCGCCCTCCTCGTCTGACTGGCTGCTTTCAGAGTCCATGTTAATAACGTCGTGAGAAGTAGCCATGTCTTCTGGTGACTGGCTTGAATGGTAGTTGACAACAAATTGGTAGGGACAATACAGCAGAAACAATATAAGATTGATTGCAATGACAGCTTGAATGGTAGTTGACAAAAATTGGTAGTCACAATACAGCATATGGCTAGCACATAGAAGAAGACAGCAATGAACACAATGATAAGGTTGTTTGATATTACATAAAAATTAGGAGATTGGATATTTCTAGCTTCGAACCATGAATATTTCCTATGTAATTACGGTCCTGTAACACTACACACAGAAATCACAATAGCCTGATGCATCAAATGAACAAGCCGCTGATTAAGGCAGCGTCTGGGATTCTCTCGGACGTAGGTTCGAACCCTCGTCACGGCCCTTGTGGATTTGTTCATACGGTCCTGTAGTTTAGTGGGCTGCGTTCTCGACTCGCTATCGAGGATGTCAGGTTTCATAAGAACAAAAGTAACTGCAGAAGGCCTATTGGCTCATACGAGGCAGCTCCTATTTATAACCACCAAATCCCACTCATATACATGTCCAACCCACGTTTGAAACAATCGAGGGACCCCACCTCCACCACCTTTCATCCCCAGATAGGTCAGAAATGATTGGGCACTTTTCCTTTCACCTAATTCCGTCTAGGTCATAAAAGTATTTATGTGTACGTCTGATACCATACTACTTGTGTAAAGGAGGAAATGTATATGTTTATCTCTCAGAATGTTTGGTAATATGTTTATTGTTTGTGATGTGTGTATATGTATGTATTAACACGATGTACTGAACGGGGTGAGAATAGCTTGAGCTACCTCATCTCTTTGTGTGTATTTTACCTCAATAAACTTATTTCAATTTCAATTTCAACCAAATTCCGTTGTTCAACTTGCAGTATAATAGGTTCCCGGATGTTAGTCAACACTTGTAGGTTGTATCATGATGAAGATCAGTAGTTCGACCTATGAGGGATCTCGATACAAGATTAACTACAGCGTTCCTGTACCCGGTAACGAGAATTAAGAACATTTCGCGTCACATATATACCAGGCAATTTAGTCTGTCAATGAACGTTTTCTTTAGTTAAGAAAAGAAAATAGATATATTTTCAGGGCTGACTTCTGAAATACACAAGTGATTGGCGTTTAGTAGAACATTACGGCGAATTGGTACAATTCAAATTACACTTACTATTCAAAAAGAATATAACGCATTCGGTAATGAAGTAATTTATAATTAAATATATATAGTCCACTGTATAAGCAGAGTTTCTGCCAGGAGAGATTGTATCTGTTATTTATTTATTTATTTATTTATTTATTTATTTATTTATTTATTTATTTATTTATTTATTTATTTATTTATTTATTTATTTATTTATTTATTTATTTATATACAAGAAGGTACATTGGGTTTGTGAGAATACATAGCACAGTAATTACAATCTTGTAAAGCCACTAGTACGCGCAGCGTTTCGGGCAGGTCCTTAATCTAACAGATAATTTTAAGTAGGTAAATTCTAGCAGAATTAATAACATGATAACAGATACATTGCAATATACAGATACATTCCCTTATACATTGTATAAGGGAAAGTCAGACATGTTCGGGGTGGAGGGATGAGGAAGGGTTTCACATTGTAAACCTAAAATCTTTGAAGTTTATTATGAAAAGGTGAAAAATAATCCGAACCGTTGTGGAAGATCTTGGAAGGGCGCGATTTGCAGGCAATAAAATAAATTCGATCAGCAATACTCCTGAATTTACCTGAGGGCCACTAATACTCTAGTGGCCTCGACGAGGGCAGGAAACCGGCGGCTTATCAATGCCCCCCTCCCCATTTGGCCTGCTGATTTCTTCCAGCTGGATTTTTAAAAATTAACAGTATTGTCTAGAGGCAAAACAAGCAACAGTTTTTGGCAACAGGCAGCGTCAACAGGCAGCGTCAACAGACAGCGTCAACAGACAGCGTCAACAGACAGCGTCAACAGACAGCGTCAACAGACAGCGTCAACAGACAGCGTCAACAGGCTCCAGTGCTTGTCACAATACGAGTCTGACAGACGCAGTCTATAATATACTGGTTAAGAAGCTTCGCAGATTCAAATAACTTGGATTGAATTGAGACGGTTGATTGAACACCGTTCTTGAACTTCTTCAATCTGGTCATATCTGGTCAAGGGAGCCGAGCGGACAGCACACTGGACTTGTGATCCTGTAGTCCCGGGTTCGATCCCGGGCGCCGGTGAGAAACAATGGGGAGAGTTTCTTTCACCCTATGCCACTGTTACCTAGCAGTAAAATAGGTACCTGGGTGTTAGTCAGCTGTCACGGGCTGCTTCCTGGGGGGGTGGAGGCCTGGTCGAGAACCGGGCCGCGGGGACACTAAAAAAAGCCCCGAAATCATCTCAAGATAACCTCAAGATAACCAAGATCCCCCCTCTCCAATTCTCTTCCACTACCTACCCATCTCTATGCATCTTTCTCTCCCTATTTCTCTCATAAATATAATATATATATATATATATATAGGGGGGTACCACCTCTGGTGCAATTATAGGGACCCACAGCCTCAGAGAAGAGAGCACAGAGCATTCAGGGAATAACTTGCCATTTAACTCTGAATACGAAAGTGTGTTCGCTTCTCCTGCCACCTCTTTTTTTATTATGGTGTACACTTTAGTACAGTATATTATATATTATAATTATTGGTGCTAAGTACATTAAGTTGGTTAATGGGCTTGGGATAGGTCAAGTTTACTCTGGTAAACTGTGGATGGATTATGAGGCTGTCATCAGGGATAGGTACATCTTGACAGCGTCTGGGAAGGGAGGGAGGGAACTATGAGAGGTGAAAGCACCAAGCCATTACGACTATATAGCACTGGGAAGGGGTCAGGATAAGGATTTGGGATGAGACCGGGGTAAGGAATGGTGCCCAACCACTTGTGGACGGTCGGGGATTGAACGCCGAACTGCATGAAGCGAGACCGTCAGGCAAATTCCTCTACGCTCACCATGATGTTATTTCTGAGCGTGAGAGCTGAGCTTTCCCGTGGAAATTGAAATTTAATTGAAATAAGTTTATTGAGGTAAAATACACACAAAGGGATGAGGTAGCTCAAGCTATCCTCGCCCCGTTCAGTACATCGTGTTAATACTTACATATAGACACACATCACAAACAATAAACATATTACCAAGCATTCTGAGAGATAAACATATACAAGCGATGAGTCACAATAACGTGGCTGAAGTATGTTGACCAGACCACACACTAGAAGGTGAAGGGACGACGACGTTTCGGTCCGTCCTGGACCATTCTCAAGTCGATTGTCTCAAGTTGATCGTCGATCGAAACGTCGTCGTCCCTTCACTTTCTAGTGTGTGGTCTGGTCAACATATACATTTCTTCCCGTGGACGAGTAGTGCTTGAGAGTAGCTAGATCTCCTGTAACGAGGTTCAAGACATAACCCAGCTTGTTAACTGCTGCACGATGGTTGGGACAAGGAACCTTTAACAGTTTATGTTCCTTCTCTATTGTAATCTGGGGGATCCCGCTTTGTTACCCGGGCGGCACAGAAATGGTTGGGCTTGTTGCCTTTCACCCCATTGCTCTGTTCACCTAGCAGTAAATAGGTACCAGGAAGTTTGGCAACTGTTCGAGGGTGTGCCATCTTAGGGAGTCTATAATTCTATCTCGTGACCTCGATACAACCATCCAGTGTATATATAATATATACAGAGGCTTCCTGTCCCAGATAAAACGAATTACTATAATGCTAACCAGCATATATACAGCTTCTGTTCTCTATAGACAAGGATGTGTTGATCTGAAATGTGTAGTGAGGTATTATGCACTCAACCACGAGTGATTAAAGTGCATTTGCAAAGCTAACTAGCATGCATACATGTGTGTGTGTGTACACTTATCTAGTTGTGTTTGTGGGGATTGAGCTGTTGCTCTTTGGTCCCGCCTCTTAACTGTCAATCAACAGGTATACAGGTTCCTGAGCCTACTGGGCTCTATCATATCTACACTTGAAGCTGAGTATGGAGTCAGCCTCCATCACATCACTGCCTAATACATTCCATTTGTCTACTATGACACTGAAAAAAATTCTTCCTAACGTCCCAATGGCTCATTTGGGCACTCAGTTTCCACCTGTGTCCCCTAGTGCGTGTGCCCCTTGTGTTAAATAGCCTGTCTTTATCTACCTGTCTTAGGTAGATATCTAAGGTTTATCTATATTTACGTGTATGTGTAGGGGTGTGGGGGGTCATACACCCCTCTCATTCACACACTGGTGATTGGGGGCGTCTAGGGTTGACTGGTGTTGGGGGTGGAGTTGGGGGTGGGTGGAGGTGGATTACTGGGGGTAGTATATGGGTGGAGCGAGGGAAGAGACCGGTCAGTGTCGGTGTGAGTGTGGTGGCGTGTGGTGGTGCCGCTCTGAGCTCTGCCTTCCCTTGACTGGGCGGCCGCCGGGGGATAACGCCACTCTGCCCCCCAAGACAGCCTGCTTGTTTGCTGTCCAGGATGCCGAGACGGGCGCCTTCCCTCAGGTGAGTTCACGAGCCGCCCAACACACACACACTGGAGACTAATTCGTAGGTGAGACATACACTGGAGACTGATTCGTAGGTGAGACATACACTGGAGACTGATTCGTAGCTGACACACACTGGAGACTGATTCGTAGGTGAATAGACTCCCTTATTGGTTTTAAATCAATTGATTGTTCATGTCTGCTTATAAAGTTCGGGTCCTTTCAGGATTTAGTTGGCTATCAAGCATAAGGCGTCGTGACTCCTGCTTAACTAGGCCGGTAAGGGACATGACACACATCAGTTATAAAGTTGTTTTTAGTTTCTAGAAAAGTGGGTCCAGTACCATTACGTATTCTGTATGAACTAATAATTATTGATAATTGGGCAGTTTGTAGTTAACTCTAGTATTATTGACCGCGATGATTGTAACTGGCTGATATTGTTTTTGTTGGAATATTAAGTTTATCAGGAAAGGAGGATCAGGAAAAATACGCCAAGCCATTACGACTATATAGCATTTGGAAGGGGTCAGGATAAGGATTTGGGACGGGACGGAGGGCAAGGAATGGTGCCCCAACCACTTGGTGGACGGTCGGGGATTGAACGCCGATCTGCATGAAGCGAGATCGTTGCTCTACCATCCACCCCAAGTGATTAGAATTGTTTCTTGAGGTTATCTTGATGATTTCGGGGCTTTTTAGTGTCCTCGCGGCCCGGTCCTCGACCAGGCCTCCACCCCCAGGAAGCAGCCCGTGACAGCTGACTAACACCCAGGTACTTATTTTACTGCTAGGTAACAGGGACATAGGGTGAAAGAAACTCTGCCCATTGTTTCTCGCCGGCGCCTGGGATCGAACCCAGGACCACAGGATCACAAGTCCAGCGTGATGTCCGTTCGGCCGACCGGAGGTTGCTTAAGAAAGACCGCAAGATTGCACGACTTCAAAAGACTTTGTTTGATATCGGGAGAATATCATAAGCTATCTGCAAATTTCGTATCTCATTTGTGTAGTCAAGATGACCTGTAGTTCATTATCTTGAGGCTAATGGCCGTCACACAGGAGCGTCTCTCTGGTTGTAAGATTACACAACCCGGTTTCTTAAGACAGTGCCCGGGGGGGGGGGGGAGGATGATAACATTAGAGTAGTTTAAGTCTTGGTGATTATAGGGACGACACCCGTTCATCCCTTCCTTGACTCTTGTTGAATTATCTTCTTATCCTCGCTCTTCATTCGTCTGTTTGTCTCCTCTCTTGTCTCCCAGGTTCTTATTGTGCCCGTCTGCGTCTTTGACGCAGGGGGTCTTTGACGCAGGGGGTCTTTGACGCAGGGGGTCTTTGACGCAGGGGGTCTTTGACGCAGGGGGTCTTTGACGCAGGGGGTCTTTGACGCAGGGGGTCTTTGACGCAGGGGGTCTTTGACGCAGGGGTCTTTAACGCAGGGGTCTTTGACGCAGGGGTCTTTGACGCAGGGGGTCTTTGACGCACCGACTGACGGTTACACAGTCTGTTCTTATCGTTTGTTCGCGATGCGATCTTTCCATAACATCCTCTCCCTTCCCCCCCCCCCCCCCCCCAACTGTGCCCAACCTGTATATCAGCTGTGAGAATATATTAAAATTTAGATTATCTATAAAAGAATCTATTTTTCTCAAGTCAATATTGATGATCACTAATTCGATAATTATCTCGTATAATTTCTCTCTCTCATGCTTATATAATGCTGAAGTCTGTTAGTCAATGGCTAACGAGTCTGTTAGTCATGGCTATAACAAGTCTGTTAGATATAATATCTCCATAGGGCGGTGGTTAGCAGGTTTGGTGAGTAGTTATGTGACAAGGAGGTATAATTACCTAATGCAGGGGCATCAGAGTGAAAGAAACTTTGCCCATTTGTTTCTGCCTCCGCCGGGGGTTGAACCCGGGCCCTTAGGACTACGATCCCAGAGCGCTGCCCATTCAACCGCACGGCTCCTGACACAGCGACGGACGGACGGAGGGACGGACGGAGGGACGGACGGAGGGACGGACGGACGGACAGAGGGACAGACACAAGAGTACACTCCCCTAACCTTCCGGCCAACTGGTCTGGTCACAGTTTTCAGTTTTTACTTGTGAATACTTTCACTACACAGTGAAGCAGACACCTCCATCACGAGTCTGGTGGCCATCTGCTCTACATGTCCCCCCCCCCCACGCCCACGCCCACTGGGCGGGGCATACACGTGAACCTACAACCACACATGCTGTCTTGACAGCTTCCACCGATTGTCTTGCCAAATTATCGGTCAGTTGTCAAGATTAAGGCGCTCCTACTGATATTTTTACGGAAGTCGTGAAATATTCCAGTTGATAAACCTGGTTTGGTGATGCTTGACCGTCTTGACTGCTTGAGGACACGTCTGGTGATGCGCGACATTGTCTTGACAGCTTGAGGCCAAGTAATGATACAGCTACCAGCTAATTATATAATCTTAATGTAGTTTAAGAAACAGTAGTCCATTGATCAATTTTGAGGAGATTAGGAACCAGCAAAATGGGCTAAGGATTAATTACCAAGATTAAATATTATTCCCCCATAATATTAAGACGTTCCAATATCTTCCCGCTGGTAACAAGATGGTTCAATCCTAAACACTAGCGCTAACTGTCACAAATTAGTATCATCGCTGATTGTGGGGAACTGAAATATAACGATAGATGGGACCAGGAGAAACGTCCATTTATAAATTGGAAACCTGTTAGGAAAATTGTATATATAAATTACAAGAATAAAACGGTTAATCCACTTTCCTCATTTGCTTATAAGGGTCTTTAATCTCTCTTCAAATCTCAGCGGAAGCAAGTTAGGCAACATTGATATTCCATGCATTGTCATGAAATAATTACCAGGTAGTGGAATGGTGGCCGTTTTCCAGACAACTAGTTGAACTTTTGACTAGTAGAATAAATCGGCTCGTCGGATTCGTAGTCCTGAGGTTCCTGGTTCGATTCCCTGTGGAGGCGGAAACAAATGGGCAGAGTTTTTCACCTTGAATGCCCCTGTTCACCTAGCAGTAAATAGGTACCTGGGAGTTAGATAGCTGCTACGGGCTGCTTCCTGGGGTTGTGTAACAAAGGAGGCCTGCTCGAGGACCGGGCCGCGGGGACGCAAAGCGCCGAAGTTATCTCAAGATAACCTCAAGATAACAATGAGAGCGCTTGTGTCGTGTTGCTCCTGCTATCTTACTGAAGGTTCTGAGGGCTGGCTTGATGCTCGCTTCTATTGAGTGTCCCCTAAACGTATCCACTTTGTTTTAGTTCAAGCAAGTGAAGTTGAGCCCATTAGGCATTTATTGAACCGACGAGGTCTGTTCTATGGTCTCTCGCGAGGTCTTCTCGGAGATTTTCACACTCTTCATCTGTCCAGATTGGTTTCATTAGCTTTGCGTCATCGGAAAACATCTACATTAAATACCTCCTTGTTTAGGTCTTCGAGAAAGATGAGAAATAGTTTAGGATTTAGAACGGATCCTTTAGAGACGTTTCTTGTTGACGAAGGCTAATTAGATTTCTCTCCTCTGCCCTGGAACTTTGCCTTCCTTTGATTGTTGCCGCTGAAGGCGGCTAGTTTATTGTGCACCCCATACTCATCCTGTGAGCGGTAGCACAAAAACCATTACAGAGGGCACAAAAGGTCTTTAGCAGACCTCATCTTAGATTACTACATAAACAATTTCATCTATCCTTCACACCTTATATATTTGCCTCCCTGCATAGTTTTACCCATTGTTGTGCTCTAACGGGTGCATTGATGTCTCAAACATGTGTAGTACTCATTTATGCAAAACTATGTTTGGGGTTACAGAAATACAACTTGTCTGTATTTCTTTGTCGCAGATCTCTATAGTTCGTTAGGCAAAATTTTTTTTCACTGGAGCCGTTTTGGGTCTTTTTTTTTTTTTTTTACAAATTCTGTCTAGTATTTTTATGCTAATTATGCTCTTAAGTTACACATAAATCACAATAGCGTGATGCATCAAATGAACAAATCCACAAGGGCCGTGATGAGGGTTCGAACTTGGGGTAAATAGCGTAAAACCCTGGTTTCTCGGAGAGGCTGCAGGATCCGTCGGTAAATCAGGATGATTTCCCGGTTGCAATTCTTTTAACCATGTCGTAGCGCAGTCGATTAAGGCAGCGTTTGGGATCCTCTCGGACGTAAGTTCGAACCCTCGTCACGGCCCTGGGTACTATGCAGAGTCAATGATACTAGTCTGTTAGTGCCTCTTTCCTGTACCCTTTCTTTTATAGGGTACTTGCAGTTTTCAAGCTGTTAGGCAGCTCACCCCTTCACTAATGAATAATTAAATATCAAAGGTAGACTCAAGGTCAATGCAGTTTCAATGTCCAGAATAACTTCTCTGGCTCTTTTAAGAGTTGCTTTCAACAGGTATCAAGAGTTGTCATGTCCTCAGCTGTTGCCCCAACAGCGGAGGACATGACAACTCATCGAAAAAATTAACTAAAACTGGACAAACTGGAGGAATGGCCCAGGAATCTACACACCATTCGATTGATAGTTGAGACACGGGACCATAGCTGTGTGTCAACTCAACAGTTGAGACACAGACCAGCCTCTGCTCTGGGCTGTGACCTCCTCTCTTACCACTGGCAGCTATTCCGGCTCACTCCTCAACATGGAAGCTGGCATTTACTTTTTCAAATGTTTTCTAGTATTTTTTGTGTGTGTGTGTGTGTGTGTGTGCGCGCTTTTCCCTCCCCTAGTCACACATGTATGGAGAAATATGTGTACTCACCTAATTGTGCTTGAGGGGGTTGAGCTCTGCTCTTTCGGCCCGCCTCTCAACTGTCAATCAACTGTTTCTACTACTATTCTTTTCCCCCACACCACACCCCCCAGGAAGCAGCCCGTGACAGCTGACTAACTCCCAGGTATCTATTTACTGCTAGGTAACAGGGGCATCAGGGTGAAAGAAACTTTGCCCATCGTTTCTCGCCGGCGCTCGGGATCGAACCCGGGACCACAGGATCACGTGAACAGCGTGCTGTCCACTCGGCCACCGGCGCCATGTGTAAGTGTGTGTATGTGTGTACTAAAAATAAGTGAGTGCAGCCTCCGTCTCCCCTCTGAATACACACATTCCACACATTCTTTCACAGTTCCCCCCCCCCTGGGCTTGACCCCTCACATGCCTGACATGTCTACCCTGCCGTCAAGAGACATTCCCACTGGTAGAGACGCTTGCCCGTCCTCCCTCATCTTTCACACACATTAGTTCAGGAGGTGAATACTTCTGACGCCTGTTAGCAGGCTTAGCGCATTCCCTTCACATACCTTATGGTGCGTGTTACACTCCTAGATGTCCGTGGAACATGACCCGCCAATCTGTTTACAACCAGGTTCCCAGTTACCTCTGGGTGAAGAGAAGCGAATAGTTAAGGACCGGTGCCCAGTCAATCCTCCCTGGCCAGGACTGGAGCGAGACGAGTCAAGAGTCAACTCTCCCATATACACAAATAGCCTCTCTCGTCCGTCGTAAATGTTGCATCGTGTTAAGTCAGAGTAGCGATGTTGGTGCCATAAAGAACCAGTCTCCCCAGACTCCTTAACGAGTGGCACCACGTGTTAACGTGTTCGTTAACTGCCTGAAACCCCGGTGAACGTGGCGTGGGGAACCCCCTAGCCGTCGACCGCTCAATCTGTCCTCTTAAAAATAACGTCGCTTTTGGCCGTTTACCAGTATGGCCGAAAGTGGACGTAATTTGAAAATTAAAAAAAAAAAAAAAAATTGGGATTTTTTTTAACAGCAGTAAGTAAAGGGTCCTCTGATAGGTTAGGTGGGCAGGAAATTCTCATAAAGTTTCAAAACGTTATGGAAAAACGTGAATTGAAAGTTTCATCTTCTAACCTTACCGAGTAAGCCGGACGACTCAAACAGAAAACGGGACAGGACGTCACTTTTGTGAGTCGATTTCATTTCAAATTACGTCCAAATTTGGCCATAGTGAGTATACGAGCCAAAAGTGACGTTATTTTTAAGAGGACGGGTTGTCCACTAACAGGGTGAGAATAGCTTGAACTACCTCATCCCTTTGTGTGTATTTTACCTCAATAAACTTATTTCATTTTCTGGTAACCACTCTGTACGGCGGCTTGTCCATTGTACCATCAGTTGTTGTTTTAGATTCAGCTTAGAACAAAAGTTCCAAAGTAGCACGGGCTATGGTGAGCCCGTAGTGGACTTATCTGGCACAGGAGCGGGGCTGTAACTGTGTATCATCAGGTAGACTTCTTGCAGTATCTTCCTGTCTTCTGTTCCAACACCCACTCTGTAAATGCTTCATCCACGTACAAATAATCGTCAACAGAACCTTAATACCTAACCTGACTTATGGCTAAGTGTACATTGAACTTTTAATATATAATATTAACTTACGATTAGAAATTTATATTTAATACACAGTATGTTATGAGTCTTGAGGGACGGCCGCCGCTTTAACGAGCCTGGCCTATATGTATATTTCGAGTTTTTTGTCTATTGCCTATGTTTGAGTGTCTCGCTTTTCATTCAAAAGAGAGCTTGTGTGTGTGGCGTGGCCCACGTGGTGTGTGTGTGGCGTGGCCCACGTGGTGTGTGTGTGGCGTGGCCCACGTGGTGTGTGTGTGGCGTGGCCCACGTGGTGTGTGTGTGGCGTGGCCCACGTGGTGTGTGTGTGGCGTGGCCCACGTGTGGGCTCTAAACCAGTCCTGCAATAATTAAAGTATTCACAACAATTTGTGGAACATTGAAACGTGAACTTTTTTGGGTGTACAATAATACAAATTTTGAGCACATTTGGAATGTCCAAAAGAGCTTGCTGAAAAGTTGACCACCAACTGTTATTCCGTCTTAATATTACATTAGCAATCATAGGCCTGGTATACATCTTAGGCCTAATTTTAATGCATATATATGCTATTGCTAGCCTTAGGAATATTTAGGTTAGATTCCCCCGACCCCACCTCTCCACGCCCCCCCCCCTTCCATTATAAAAGCGTTCTTGTGTAATATTGCAACACAAGCAGTTACAGCCCCGCTCCTGTGCCAGGAAAGTCCACTACGGGCTCACCATAGCCCGTGCTACTTGGAACTTTTTGTTCCCAGCAGCTGAATCTTCAACAAAAACAATACTAAAAGACAGAGTGGCCGTGGGAAGCCTCACTGGCCAGGGGCCAGATTCACGAAGCAGTTACGCAAGCACTTACGAACCTGGGGCCAGATTCACGAAGCAGTTACGCAAGCACTTACGAACCTGGGGCCAGATTCACGAAGCAGTTACGCAAGCACTTACGAACCTGGGGCCAGATTCACGAAGCAGTTACACAAGCACTTACGAACTTGTACATCTTTTTCTCAATCTTTGGCGGCTTTGATTACATTTACTAAACAGTTAATGAGCTCCGAAGCACCAGGAGGCTGTTTATAACAATAACAACAGTTGAATGGGAAGTTTTCATGCTTGTAAACTGTTTAATAAATGTAACCAAAGCCGTCAAAGATTGAGGAAAGATGTACACGTTCGTAAGTACTTGCGTAACTGCTTCGTGAATCTGGCCCCAGGTTCGTAAGTACTTGCGTAACTGTTTCGTGAATCTGGCCCCAGGTTCGTAAGTATTTGCGTAACTGCTTCGTGAATCTGGCCCCAGGTTCGTAAGTACTTGCGTAACTGCTTCGTGAATCTGGCCCCAGGTTCGTAAGTACTTGCGTAACTGCTTCGTGAATCTGGCCCCAAGTCACCTGTGGCGGGTCCTGTGTCACCCCCCCCCCCAGCAATGGGGGGAGTAGAGGGGGTGGCAGGAACAGGATGTGATCCCGGAATGGGATGTGATCCCGTTCCTCCTGGCGACCGCTAGGATGTGCCGTTCCCTCATGGTGATGGTGATAAGGGCAGGATAGTGGTGGAGACAATGTTGTGGTGTTGGAGAAGATGGCTCACCTCCCTGCTTGTTCCTCTCCAACAGTGTGGTGGCTGTGGTGGTGATGGTGGCGCAAGGGTGGCTACTCTCCCCTACCTCGGCCTCCCTCTTCGGTGACGCCAGCGCCCTCCCCAACAAAGGTAAGAATAATAATTAGTCATATTGTGGAGGTGTGTGTTGTGTAGTGTCTGTCATGCTATAATATGTTGTTGTTAAAGATTTAGCTATGCAGGACGAAGTGTCCATGTAGCACGGGCTATGGTGAGCCCGTAAATGCTATAATAAATAATACAAGTTTATATATATTGGGTGAGGTGTTTGAACTGTTCATGGGAAGAAATTGTTTTTTTTTCGAGAACTGTTCATGGGCAGAAATTGTTCTAACAGAGAACTATTCTTGGGAAGAAAAATTGTTCTTTTCGAGGACTAATCATGGGAATAATAGTTCACTATTTTTGGCTAAAATAGTTCTTGTCTTTTGGAAACGTAAACCGTGAAATTGTTCTTCGGGTTTCGTTGTAAACTTGTAGAGATTTTGGCAAGATTTTAGTGCTGCATATTCCAGAATTGGTCTAACGTACATACTCTATAAGTATTGGAACAGATCCTTGTACATGCTTCTAAATGTAGAATATCCAACCCCCCGTTTAATCCGTTGGCGTTGTCCTGTGTGCGCTTACCTACCAGTGCTGGTGAGCAGGGTAATAATTTCTAGGGCTTGGCTCTTCACAACTATAATATTCCTTCTGGGGAATTTTTTTATATACGAGATATAGGATGGGTCCAAGAGCTGAAACCTGTGACTCTGCTAGTGACGTCTAGCTACTGTGAGATCTGACCCCTCACAGTACTCCCCGTGTTCTGTTGCTTAGCCTAAGTACTCCCTAATCTCCTAGAATATCTTCCCTTTCACTCTTGCCTGCGTCTCCAACTTATCCACTAGTCTCTTACGGGGTTCTGCCAAAGGCTTTCTGGCAATCCAAAAATATGCAGTCTACCCACCGTTCTCTTGTCTAATTTTTATCACCTGTTCAGAGAATTCTATTAACTCTGTGAGGCATGATTAACCATTACTGATCCCGTACTAGTGATGTTAGGAAAGCTTCTTCTCTCCAGATATTCTACTAGTTTCTCTCAATCTTCTCAGTCATTTTGTATGGTATGCAAGTTAGGAACACTGGCCTGTAGTTCAGATTAGGCAAATTGTAATTAATTTTGTCAATAAAGATGTTAATAATAATAATAATGCTTATCTCCCTTCTTGTATATTGGGACTAAGTTAGCTGTGTTGCAACTTTTCGTAGTTCACCTGTTAGTACTTAACTATTATAAACTGTGGATATCTCCGCACGAAAATCCAATCGAAAAACAAATAATTTTATCAACTTGTAACCCCAGGCGATCGAGACCCATAGTAAACAAAGGCAGAATAGACGTCCATTCGCACGGGAATTCGAATAACCAGTTCGACTCCTTCCGTGACGAGTTCGAACCCCTCACCATTTCGATTAAGCTTTCCCTCTTAGCACGAGAAACGCCGACGGCGCCCGTGACAGATGGCGGACGTCTTTGAGACGCTCTAGAGGCACCAATTAACATTCCACTGTGTACTGCGTGACCTGCCCCCCACCCCCCGACCTCCCTCCCCTCGTCTCCTACCCCCCTCGTCCCTCCCCTCGTCCCTCACCCCCTCGTCCTCTACCCCCTCGTCCCTCACCCCCTCGTCCCTCACCCCTCGTCCCCTCCCCACGTCCCGTGCAGGGGAACGCTGCACATCAAAGAGGACCCGAGAGCACATGCTACCAATTACACCAACCTCAGTGGGGAGATTTGTTGCATTATAAGATTAATATTAAATAGGTACCGAGTGATACCTTCTTGGGCGACGCTGTCGAGCTGTTCGGCGTCTCTGTTGCTGTTGGCCACGGTAACGGTAACGTTCCTGGCGTTGGCGGTTATGCTGCTCTTGCCAACGGTAATACTGCCGTTAACGGTTCTGTTGTAGGTGCAATTCACACCATAGCTGCAGGTGCATAAACAGGTTAATGTTGAGACTAGTAACGAGAGCCGGTTAACCTCCGTTGTTGTTGTTTCCAGAGACGCGATTAAACGAGCGATAACGAGTAATGGGGTTAACTATGTTAGCTGGCACTAAGATGGCCGGAATGAGATAATGAGCCGTGTGAAGTATTATAGGAGGTTAACGCCTCTTATTGAACTCGTGAATCACTTGGTTTATTACGTCAATTATCTTTCTTCCCTGTGTTCCCGTCTGTGTCCTCGTGCTCTCCCTCTATATCTTTTTCTTATCCCGTTCTCTTTTCTCTCTCTCTCTCGCTGGCAGAAAAAAGAATACGCGAGAGTCGCAGGCAAATACATGAGCAGAAGTAATGGCTCTGGACTGACTAAAAGGTTTCTGGTATAAGCAGAGGCTGCCGCTGTGGCAAGCTGCTCACCGTCTGCACCTTCTCTCTCTCCCCCAGCCACACTTAACATCCGGAGAACTTTCTCCTCCTCCTTCATCTCAGTCTCAGACTCACACGGGCGTCTAGGCGCACTCACCCGCGTGCAAAGACACTCAGACCTGTATGTAATCACTTACATAATAGCGTGTTGGGGGGTGTTCGCGTAGTTGTATACACACACACTCGCCTTATTCATACACCATCACACAGGTACGGATATACAGAACATGAGTCGAGGAATGCCGACGCGTATACGGGATGAACGAGATAATGGTTATCACTTTTCTGGACGTGAGATTAATGAATGATCAGCGGCAGTAAGCGTTTAAAGGGACTGGAACCACACACAGTGTCCTTGTTGTCCTGCTCTGTTCTCGTGTGTGTGTGTGTGTGTTTGCTGGCCACTGTTTGGATGGCTGTGTGGACAGTTTAGTGTGTTTGGAGGCGTGTGTGGACAGTTTAGTGTGTTTGGAGGCGTGTGTGGACAGTTTAGTGTGTTTGGAGGCGTGTGTGGACAGTTTAGTGTGTTTGGAAGCGTGTGTGGACAGTTTAGTGTGTTTGGAAGCGTGTGTGGACAGTTTAGTGTGTTTGGAGGCGTGTGTGGACAGTTTAGTGTGTTTGGAGGCGTGTGTGGACAGTTTAGTGTGTTTGGAGGCGTGTGTGGACAGTTTAGTGTGTTTGGAAGCGTGTGTGTGGACAGTTTAGTGTGTTTGGAAGCGTGTGTGTGGACAGTTTAGTGTGTTTGGAAGCGTGTGTGGACAGTTTAGTGTGTTTGGAAGCGTGTGTGTGGACAGTTTAGTGTGTTTGGAAGCGTGTGTGTGGACAGTTTAGTGTGTTTGGAAGCGTGTGTGTGGACAGTTTAGTGTGTTTGGAAGCGTGTGTGTGGACAGTTTAGTGTGTTTGGAGGCGTGTGTGGACAGTTTAGTGTGTTTGGAAGCGTGTGTGTGGACAGTTTAGTGTGTTTGGAAGCGTGTGTGTGGACAGTTTAGTGTGTTTGGAAGCGTGTGTGGACAGTTTAGTGTGTTTGGACGTGTGTGGACAGTTTAGTGTGTTTGGAAGCGTGTGTGGACAGTTTAGTGTGTTTGGAAGCGTGTGTGGACAGTTTAGTGTGTTTGGAAGCGTGTGTGGACAGTTTAGTGTGTTTGGAAGCATGTGTGGACAGTTTAGTGTGGTTGGAGGCGTGTGTGGACAGTTTAGTGTGGTTGGAAGCGTGTGTGGACAGTTTAGTGTTTTGGAGGCGTGTGTGGACAGTTTAGTGTGTTTGGAAGCGTGTGTGTGGACAGTTTAGTGTGTTTGGAAGCGTGTGTGTGGACAGTTTAGTGTGTTTGGAAGCGTGTGTGTGGACAGTTTAGTGTGTTTGGAAGCGTGTGTGGACAGTTTAGTGTGTTTGGAAGCGTGTGTGGACAATTTAGTGTGATTGGAAGCGTGTGTGGACAATTTAGTGTGATTGGAAGCGTGTGTGGTCAATTTAATGTGTTTGGAAGCGTGTGTGGACAGTTTAGTGTGTTTGGAAGCGTGTGTGGACAGTTTAGTGTGTTTGGAAGCGTGTGTGGACAGTTTAGTGTGTTTGGAAGCGTGTGTGGACAGTTTAGTGTGTTTGGAAGCGTGTGTGGACAGTTTAGTGTGTTTGGAAGCGTGTGTGGACAGTTTAGTGTGTTTGGAAGCGTGTGTGGACAGTTTAGTGTGTTTGGAAGCGTGTGTGGACAATTTAGTGTGATTGGAAGCGTGTGTGGACAGTTTAGTGTGATTGGAAGCGTGTGGGTGAACAATTTAGTGTTTGGAAGGTTGTGTGAACAGTTTAGTGTAGTAGTTAATACAAATAGTAAACACACGCGAACAGTAATCTTGCTTCACTCATCTTGGTTCAAGTGAAGCAACAGGAACACGGAAGCAAGAGCTGTTGACGAGCTGTGAGGGAGGCGCTGACAACCTGAGGCAATAACAGCTAAAGTTGTGTGTTTGTGTAGCAGCTCTCACACACACACACACACACACACACACACACACACACACACACACACACACACACACACACACACACACACACTGCCAAATAACTGTCTCTGTGGATCCCTGGCCGTCTTCCTCAGCCATTTACGGCCTTCCACTTAAACACAACACACACACAATGCCACCAAGAATAATTTACCAGTTTACAGCCGGAGAAACAGATGTAAAGTGAGGTTTACAGCTGGAATGAACAGCTGGGAGGTGGAATTTACCACGAAGTTGAACAGCTGGGAGGTGGTTTACCACGAAATTGAACAGCTGGGAGGTGGAATTTACCACGAAGTTGAACAACTGGGATGTGGTTTACCAGCAAGTTGAACAGCTGGGAGGTGAGGTTTACAATGCAGGTAAACAGCTGTGAGGTTTACAACCAAGACAAACAGCTGTGTTAGACATAATATAACACCTGACTACAACTTATAAATGTCAGTGAATGTCGCGTCGAGTCATAATTTGATAAATGAAAGGAGTTATAAACTAATTTCTATTCTCCCTTTAGAACATTTAGAATTAGATTTAGGACCAGACTTTGTGAGTGAATAATGCACAACATTACAGTTGTCGCTGGAGTGAATTAACAGGTGTTCTGCAGTGAATACTTTGGTTATTATTTAGCTGAGTATTGTACTGGGAAAGTATGGAGTGTCTAAGTGAATAGCCGTCAG